TAAAGATTAAAACTACAGTCTGGAACATTTTCAACGTGGAGGTAATATTTGAAACTAAGTAGTATTTCCCTAAGCCAGACATACTTGATGTACATTTATATTTGCCCATTTTTATGAATGTATCTGTGTCTTTATGTATCTATATATCTGTCTATGTATCCATCCACCTATCTATGTCTATTCATCCATTCATCATTCTATCTAGCAAGAGAATTTCCTTGCAAACAAATGGGCAATAAGGAGAGCAATGTTCTAAAGAAACCACTAAAAGACGCTAGACATTAAAGGGTGATTATAAGGTACAAATAAGTATATTTTGCAACAATATAAAACACTAAACTTACTGAGAAGTTATAACAATTTTCAATATACATGCACATAACAACTCGGATTTAACATCTACAATGGGAAAATGGACAGAGCTAAAAGGCCTTAGAAAGTAATGATGAAACAGAAAAACAAATAAGTAAATGAACACAGAGGTCCTTTTGTGAAGGGCATTTAATATAGGGAGAGAGAACCTCAGGTTCTTTCTGCTGACTCTGCTAAGATGAAGGAATCCCTTTTAGAAATGAGGAATTACATAAGAATTGCTTCTCTGATAACTGCTTTTATATCAAACTTAGAGAAGAAATGAAAAACTAAAAATGAGGGCAAAATCAGTAAGGAAGTGCATCCTCAAGGTCAAAAATGACCAAGAGCTCAAAAAGCTGGGGAAACCAGGATGCTGAGTGCCCTGTGTGATTACAGGGCCTTTGCCTGCACCTTTGGCTCCTTCTCACTTGGTCCTTTGTCAAAAGCACTGTTTCTCGGAAAAAAATTCAGTACACACCTTTCTGAGGAAGGCCTCCCAGGTCCCAGGGACAGACTTGAGCATATGCATTATCATGATTCATGTAGGTTTGATTCAGCTTGGTACACTGAACTCTGACATGTGTCTGCAGGTGCACCCCCAAGCAAGATGGGGCTTTACATTCCCAGCAGTACCACATACCAAGCTTACCTAAAGTCCCTAATGATTAAAGTATTGACTTTATGGATGCCACTCAAAGATTATTTGTTGAATGAGTTTTTAAAAAAGCTGTTAAAGAATCTGAATTGCTAATGCTAAAAGAATAGCAAATACTGTTTCCAGGAGTAATTTTCTGAGGAATTTTGACATGCACTACCTGAGGAGGCACAGCACATTCTCTGTGGAATTGTCTTCTTCACTAATCAATCCAACATGCCATGCAGTGTTGTCTTTCTATGTTTTAGGGACAATTTTACTTCTGGATTTAAGTAAACATTTTAATTTGGAAAAACAATCTTTCTGCTTGTTTTGCTGTTTCATCTGGTTTTTAAACGGGGTTGTATGCATACAGAAAGTGTGGTGTCCCAGTCTCCCCTTGCGTTTCTTTGTTCTGTTTTTAATTCTTTCCATGAGGCACTCTGAGCACAGTGCGGCGAAGACCCACACGTCCCGCAAAGTCCTAAGTACGTGTCAGCAGGTGTTGAAGGGCTGTTGGATGAGAAAGTGCCATCACTTCCTGGGTAATTGGAACAAGGCAGAGGACACTGCACACAGCGATTTGACAAAGGATTAACCTGTCTCCTCCACTGCAAAGCTGTAATGGGCTCATTTGTGACTCATGACACTGCTTGTCACCACATGATAGGGCTAACACAGCTTCCAGCACACTTTCCCAGGATCCTCCACCAAAGAGCTCAAAATGGAGATGTGAAGACACGATCTAAAAATTGATCTATTCATAGGACACACATCAAAGTTCCTAGGGGGTGTTTTGCTAAAGACACGGATATGAGTATCAGCCCAGGTGCTTAGTGGTTCATTCAAGTGAGTTAGAAAAGATCAGACAGCGTGCTCCAAGGTCATGTCTTTCCAGTTCACATCCTGTTCTGAATGATTTTCAGGGTTATTTGCGATTGGGGGAAAGCTTGGGGATATTTGCTCATAGGATGTTGGTGAAAAAAAGGCTACAGACAGAAGCAGGAATGTGTTTTACTGCTCCTAGATGAAGCCTGACAGTGTGTAAATCTGTTCCCTGACACTGGCTAAAGGTAATGATTATATAGAAACTGACTGATGAAATATGAAAGTATTGTTAAATCCTGGTGAGAAACACTCTGTGAGCAAAAGCATACACTTTCACATTGTAAAAAGTTACCAATGCTTAACTCCCCAAAGAAATAATTTAAAATCAGTCATGTATGGTGGTTCATTATAATAATTCCAGTTTTTGAAAGGTTGAGGCAGGGTACTTGCCATGAGTTCAAGGCCAGTCTAAGTGTAGAATAAGACCCAATCTCAATAAATACACAGTAACAAATACTCCCAGTTCAAATTTATTCAGAAGAAAGTATTCAATACAGAATTTAAAATAAAATACCCTTTATCATAAGATTTGTTTTTAAAAAAAAAAACTCTGCTGTGATAATCAATGTCATAATGACAATCAAAAAAGAATTACAAAACTATTTTTCAAAATTGTTAGTAAATTCTCCCTCGGAGAGTTAGTGCCGTGTCATCAGACACACATGGAAAAAAGCCATTTTAGCACTATGTGGTGTTGCTCTAGCATGAGCTAGCTAAATCCGCATAAAACCTGAGAGGGCATGGAAAGAAATTCTAGACACGAAAAGACAAAGTTTGGTCATTGCTTTTTTTCGGATGTGCTCTGCTTGCTGGTGGCATGCTGCAGCTTCTTTAAGAGAAGTCTTCCTGATTCAGCAGTAGCAGAAAAAAAAACTGTGCAGTTTCAAAATGGTGGCATCCTGAGCCGTGCTGCCAGCATGAACTCTAGCTCTTTCAGGAGGCTGAACACTTGAATGGAGTTCGTGGGCAGCCTGCTACAAGTTACTTGGTGGCAGCATGGGGCAACTTCTTACCAAAGTTCAGGTGAAGAGCATGGCTCCCACTCGGCAGGCAGTCTCAGATGCAGTGAACAGACTTCTGCCATTTGAATTGGGTGGAGCCAAAAGGCAAAGCAACCTTATTCCTAATAATGCTGGTTAGCATTTAAAGAAGCACTTCTGGACAGAAAAGGATTTCAGGTGCACAATAGGACAGATTCAGACATAACAGACCTCTAAATGAGACACAGTGTGTTTAAAAAGGTACACAGGCTTGGGAGAGAGAAGAAAAAGAGTAAGAGACAGTAAATGTAATATAAGAGTACAGACAGTCATATATTAAAAGAGTAAAGATAATAAAATAAATATTAAACTTTAGAAAAAGAAATATACACAGATAGTCTAGATTATGTATATTATTGTGCTTTTCTTTGAATTTTTTACTGTGAAGAAGCTAAGTATAGAGAGACATTTAATTGTATGGGCTACTAAGCTAAACCAACCTATATATTTGAAAGGTATCTTGATTCCAAAATGTGAGTCTAAGGATTTGTTGCTTTGTAAAACAGGTCCTGCTTTTGTTTTCACAGATGATGAAAACCTATGAATTAATTCCATACTAATGTAGTTTGATGGACCAAGAACCCCTGAAAGGTTGCCATGAATTCCTCCCCAAAATATTTCACCCAACAAAAAGCAGGAAGCAGTTTGGAGAGAACTGTGCTCATATTACCAAGTATTGTTTATAAATGTTTACTTACATTTAACTGGAGATATACTATAGATATGAACACTTTGCATTGATATGGATCTTAGTCTATTGATACAAATTTTAGGTCATTTTTGTTATATGTATATTTCTGCTCTTGATTAAGGTTTTGTATTTATGCACCATACTTAAAATGTAATGTATAATTAAGAAACATAAGTTAATAGATCATCACCTATAATAGACAAACCTGTAGTCATGTTAGTTAGGTTTTCTAGATATATAAAGATATTTTAATTAGACAGATATCTTCAAACCTTTTAAAGGCTTATGAAATATGGCATTTAAAATGTTTTAAGTACTTAGGTCTTTTCATGACATAAGACATAATTGCTCCTGGCAGCACCAATTACTTCAAGAGGAAAATGGGCATTAAAGAAGCTCCTTATAGAGTTTGCTAGCCATTCAGGCAAGAAACTGCTCTTGCATGGACTATTTGATATTATGCTGTATGAACTGGACATGCAGGACCTACAGAGAATCACTGCTGAAGTTGACTAAAGAAGGTGAGACAGTCTTTGGTGTGTCCTACTTAATGAAGAAGACTGCCAGACACTCTTCAGGACACAGAAGAAAGTGACTGACAAACTGTCAATATTGGTCGAAATGTCTTTGAAATTCTCTGCTTCCTAAAAAGTCTCCCAGATACTATGGGCCTATAGGCTGAAGATGGATGCCCGAATGGTACAGAATAACTTTGGGTGACTGTCCAGGCAGGGAAATGCCTGTCAATTCTAGAGTTTTGGAACTTGCTTACAATGTACTTCCTGTTTACTTAGGTAATATTATTTCTTTCTGAGGTCTGGATGGAGTTGAAGAATAGATAGCTATAATTATAGTTTTCCTTAGTTATGATAAAGATAAAATAGATATAAATATTGTAACTATAATTCTTTTTTTCTCTTACTAAAGATTTTATTTTTCATTATATATAATTATGTGTATGTGCCTACTGAGGAGAGAGGAGGGCATCGTATCCCTTGGAACTGGAGTTACAGGTGGGTGCTGGGAATAAAACTTAGGTCTTCTGCAAGAGCCACACTTTCTGAACTGATGAGTCATCACTTCAGCCACAAAAAAAGAAATTCTTCCCAATTTGTCACACCTAGAGACGACACTGTAAGAAAATGAGTACTTTTCATGCTTCCTTTTAATAATGACAAGCTTGTGCCACAGCTGCAATACATGGCTCACAATCAGTCTTTCCGCAGGGGAACAGTCTCCTCCCTGATGCTCTCCTTGGTCACAATGGAGATCCTGAGGGCATCGCCAGTGTACACGTCCCTCTCAGCTGCAGAAATAAAGACATCCTTCACCAGCCGCATAGCTTTGTCCAGAGACAGGGGCACGTGGTCCACATTCTGCATATTTTTGAAACCAACCTGGCAATGGAGGTACTGTATTGGCAATTGCTGGAGAAGATTTTTCCATTGTTGCTTCAGACACTCGATTGAGTGAAGGGTTTTCAATTCATACCCGAGACAGCCCCAAATGTTATAAACTTACAGACAAAACAGTCATTGGCTGCAGTGGTTTCCATGGAGATTGTCTTACTCTGATGAAGATTATTGAAGCGAGATTAAAGATGTACAAGCACTCCAATAACAAGGCCATGACCACCGGGGCAATTGCTGCAATGCTTTCTACCATCCTCTACTCACGGCGCTTCTTCCTGTACTATGTCTACAACATCATCGGTGAACTCGATGAAGAAGGAAAGGGAGCTGTGTATAGCTTTGACCCAGTGGGCTCCTACCAGAGAGACTCCTTCAAGGCTTGGGGCTCAGTAAGTGCCATGCTGCAGCCTCTGCCTGTAACTATAATTCTTATCGATACATGTTTTGTATATGTAATTTTACTATGTTAAAATCAAAACCTTCCTTTTCATTTAGACAGAAAATGGGAGTTCATGTGGGATTCCCCTTTGTATTACCATTAATGTGATTACCATTGATTAAGAAAGAAACTGCTTTGGGCCTATAGTAGGGCAGAACAGATCTACATGGGGAAATCTAAACCGAGTGCTGGGAGAAAGAAGGTGGAGTCAGAGACACCATGTAGCTGCCACCAGGAACAGATGAGTTGGAATCTTGCTGGTAAGCCATTGCCACACGGTGATACACAGATTAATAAAAATGGGTTAAATTATGATATAAGAGCTAGCCAATAAAAGCTAGAGCTAATAGGCCAAATAGTGATTTAATTAATAGAGTTTCTGTGTGGTTATTTTAAGTCCTGGCAGCTTACATACATCCTTACTTACATAAGGATCATCATAGTCAAAATGCATGAAATATTGGTTTAGAGTGCCATGGAATCATGTAGGAACTTTTTCACTGATAAAAAGATTTAGCACATCCCTTCCATGACATTCCATTCTACACCATAGTATATGTGCACCACAGAAATCACCAAACACCACAAATCACTGCTTTTGTTTATTTGTTTTTCTAGACAAGTTGCTAAATGATTACCTATGATGCTACTTTTGTGGGTTTTCTTATTCTTATGATTTTGAGGCATTGCTTGGACTAGATGACTTAAATACCATCCTTTCTTCCCTCTCTCTGTCTTTCTCCTTCCTTCCTTCCTTCCTTTCTCTCTTTCTCTCTTTCTCCCCTTTTCAGGATGAGGTCCAATGTAGCTTTTGTTAGCCTAGAACTAGCTAAGGATGACCTTGAACTTCTGATCATCCTGCATCCACTTTCCAAGTGTCTGGACTACAAGCATACAAGTTCATTCCCAGTTTGTGTCTCAGACACTTTAGTGCTTTCTCAACAGGCTCTTACTCCATGCTGATCACAAGTGGATTTGTAAGAGGCACTGACTATGCAAGCTGCTGAACTAATGTGTCATCAACAGCTTTCTCAGCTTCACAGGTGATTGGTCTTCTCTGATTGGCTTGCTATCACCCCTTCTTCATAAAATGCAGATAGCCTCTATTAACAGCTAATTTGGGTGTGGGATAGGCTCTGCCAGTAAAACAATTCTAATTATTGTGAGGGGTGAGTGGGGTTCTCTGCTAACTCCTCATGGCAATGGTTCCTGTAATAATTTTGGGGGAAACAGCTCCTGACAATAAAATTAGTTACTTGTTATTCCTTCTTTAAGCTCTCAAGACAAATTTTAAGAGAGGAAAAAGTAATTCACATATTTTAATATGATGTTATACACATATGTCATCCCTTCTTCCAAGTAGTATGGAAGAAAACCTTTTGAATTTGTTGCTAAAGGTAGATATCCCTGGCTATTTGTTAATATTGGCTTAGGTCAGAATACAAGATGTAGCAATGAAAGTGAAGTGAAGTAGGTTAACTTCTGAATTTCTATGAATAATGGAAGATATTTTAAGATGTCTTCTGAGTGTCTGAATCATGGGGCCTATGAAGATTTATTTTTTTATTGAATGAGAAGACAACAATCTGAAGGTTGACTGAAACAGGAAAGCTATTGACAGTTTATACTGGAGAGCATTACACTTGAAATGACCTCATTTTGTCTAAGGAGAGATGTATATTTGGACACATGGGAAGGGAGCATAATGGTATTGTCTAGTGCATTTTCAGCCTTTTAATATGATTTGTTTTTCTTTATGATAATATATTGCCTTTCTGTTAGTGGGTGCATATATTTTCTCAAGAACATTTGTGTAAACAGGTTCACTGATATATGAAGATATCTTGAGAAGCCTTAGTGGCTCTATGAAGATGTCCTTTAATATCACCTGGTCATTGGGAATCCTGATGGCCTTTGGACTGTTAGATGGAACAGGAAGTGATCCTGAATGTCTTATCATGGTGTATTAGTACCCATCTTTTCTGGACATTCACTTTACCCTCTGTTCTGATTGAGATGGGAGACAGTCTAGAATCTGTCAGGATCATTCATTCTGGACCATAGCAAGGAACGTCACACTTCACCTTCTGCTATGGGGATACTTCATGACTTTCTGAAGCAATTTAATGAGTGCCTTGTAGAGCCATGGCTAGGTTGCTTCTTTTCCTCCACTAATAGTGCAGAGGAGATATCTGTACTTGTGGAATCTGAGATTCAAGTGAATTATCTTCTTTGTGTTGCCCTATCTTTATCCCTAAAATATTTCGGTTTGTTATTTAGATAAAATCTTATTGGAGATGACATTTATTTATTGGAAATGAGAAATTTTCTAATGGTAGAAATAGGTTCTATTGTTCAGATCTTAATTCACATTTCATGATAATTTGAAATAGCAAGTTGTCCCATGGTTTTGACCTAGAATGAGGAACTACAATTATCTGTTTCTTCTCCAGCCTCCTTCACTGCTGCCTCTTTTTTATCCAGAACCTGGTGTAATGACTTCGGTATCCCACTTTCTATCAAGCAGGAAGAGAAAAATTTGCTCATGTTATAACTTCAATATCCCAAATCCATGGTTTTTAGTCAGATTCTATTTTTAAACCATGAGCTGTATATTATGTAAAAGATAGCTTCTGGGTTTTGAAAATTCAATTTCTCTTTTGACCAATTCTGCCCTTCAAAACTAATGTATGTTTGTTCGTAATAAAATTGTCAGGTATGAGAATTGATGAAAACAGTAGTCTATTTCTTTCTCTTGTATTTCTTGTCTTAATAATATAAATCATTCTCAAAGCAACCAAACTCTTAAAAATTGAGTAAAATGCAGTAATGTAGAAAATAAATAGAGGAGAGTATCTATTTGAATTACCTCACTATCATCTATTTATCACTAAAATAGAATTTGAAATGGTGGGTGTTAAGCATGTGTGGCAGTGTGCATACTGTGCTAATGAATAATTTTTGAAAAATATGTAAGTGTATTTTTGATTGCTGATTGGAAGGATCTACTCAGAGAGAGAGGATTAATTTATAAATAAAACAAATTTAATAACTAAGGTTCCTAGAGACTCAAGGTGATGGATCTTAAGACTTTTTACAAGAGGGTGGGAGATCTCTTCCACTGTTAAAACCCAGAGAAATGCTGAAGGTTCTGCAGCACTGTTGCTCAGATCTGTGAGGATTCATGATTTATAGCCAACTCTGTCTGGGTGGGCAAGATATGACAAGGAGAACTATGATCAAGGAGAACTACAGCCACAGTTTGGTAATTGTGACTCTGAATTAGGCAGTGATTTAGACATGAGGCAGCCATGGAAACTAGTTATTCTTGGGTAAATGTATTCCCCGATGACATTTTGTGGAAGTTTCAAGTATCCTTGAAGTTATAGTTATGTTTTCCCTGCTCTATCACAAATTAAGACATGAAGAAACTTGGTCAGTTGCCACAGTGAACACTAATGAAGGGTCTTTAACCCTTTAGATGATCCTGGCTTCATTGTAATTTCACTGTTGTTACACACACACACACACACACACACACACACACACACACACGCGCCCTTCCTTCATGAACCTTTCAAAAACATCAGAAGAAATTCCTACAAGGTGAGGGGCCGTCTGTTTCTACCATTATTTGAGAAAGAAAGTGTGCTCTAGATTTGTGAACATACTAGTCACCTCTTAATGGTCATAAGAGTCTTAAAATTTCATAACTCAGAATCCATTATGCTGCTAACCTCTGCTGTAGGTCAGACTTCACCAGTCTTTTTCTGAGGAGTGTTCTAACATGAATAAACTGCTTCTGCTATCTGTCCCACTTGGGTGAATTCTTTCCTTTGAAATAATAAGATCTAAAGAGAAACCAAATAAAAGGAACAAAATGGCACATGCATGCCTCTTTTGCAGCTTAAACATGATTTCTTCAACGTGATTGTGAAACATGATGAGGTTATCTGTCAGTGTGAAAGAGAAGGTAGAAGGAGAAAGTATAAAGAATGAAAATATATTAAATGGTAAGTACAGGTGTTAAGAGGGTACAGGAAATATCAAATACAAGTTCTGAATTTGGTGCTCTTTATAATACGAATGAGTTCTAGTCTGTGTCATTCTTTGGTGCATAGGAAGAACACTTCCTGGTCACTAAAGCTGAAGTAACGATTTTCAGATTTCTTCTACTCCATAGTTCCATTCCGTGTATCTTTGCAAATGTGGAAGACTTGTCATTAGGAGTCACTCACTCTCTGGTCTTTCTAAACCATTGGAGGGATGAACAATACTGTAAGATTTCATTACGGCACAAGCTACTATTCTAATATTCTCTTAGGACCCATGTACTTCTCCAAGTTCCTTTGCGTCTGTTAAATGAAAGTTTTGGAAAATTAATCTAGTGACTTTAAATTTGTTTATTAGTATAACTTTGTCTCTTACAAAAAAATGTGCATGGGATTTGGCGCTCAGGACAAATGAGAAAAGATCCACTATTGTTCAAGGACAAAATGAGTTTCCGAAGAGATCCCAAGCTGGCTATTTATCCTTCCAACTACTGCCATGATACTTAGTGATTTTCAGTACACACTCTGAATCCTTATGTATACCTTTTCTGGCTTTGAAACTCAGGGGCACTTGTAGGGGGCTTATTCTTTGTGATCGCATTGAAGAAGTGATGCTTCGGCAGTAGACAGGACTGCCTGTGCCAGCTTGTCTCTTTACTAGCCCCGGTGTAGTATTCATTTAATTTGTTAGTCTACTCCTCCATTAGCTTTCTCCTATGGAGGGACTGACCAATTTATCCCTGTTTAAAATTTAATCAGACGTTTCACTGCTCATCAACATTTTAACGGGACCATTTAGAGCCATGGAACTCCACACATCTCTGCTTAATTACTGCTAGTTGACAGATGTCACTTTCATTGTCCTCTGTCCCCTCTCCTTCAGCTGCTCAGACTTGTAGGAGAAGCTTATTTTTAAAATAAACCT